TTTGAACTTCGTTATGTAACAGAAATTTGGGTGAATTATTTCATTTATTTCATAACCATGGAATTTTTCTACAGGCTAGTTAGATGCATCGAAGGAGTTTTCATGGAAAGATTATTTCACAAAAATTATTAGGCAATTTGTAGACCCTGCTTATACCAGAAAACTGAATAATTCAGAAAGAAAAAATAAACCAAGGCACAGACTTCAGGATCTGTAAAATATTCAGTTCCTCATCATGTTAGAGAAAGTAGAATATCATCAGAACAAAGCTTGAAAAAGATAAAGAAGTACATGGCCAAAGAATTAGAAAAAATCCTCTGGCAAAAAATAGGTTGGGTTTTTTTGGTCATGTGACATGATTAAAGTGCATTTTGGAATTTATAGTGATTGAGATTGAGTATTATATTGTTATTTGTATGCATATACACATTGAATATAAATCTAATATGGATCATACATAACACTACCCCCAACATACTCAGATATGTGGTTTATTAAAAATAATACGTAAAAAAGAGATGGGGTAAGTATATCTTAAATGATATAAGCACATACAAATACATCTTATTTTAAGTTTGAAGGCTGAAGTCTGATCTGAAATGAGACCTTCCAGATAATCTCAATATTATCCAGATTTGGGTCCTCTGCCCTAAAATGCACATCATAGTTAAGCAGCATATACATATCAAGGATATGTCACTCCAAGTCATCCCTCCTAGATGCAGATCAAAAATGTGCTCCACAATACAAAGACACAGGGAATGCATTTGAGCTGGAAAGGACCCCTAATTCAATTCTCTCATTTTGCAGATGAGAAGGCAGAGACCCAGAGAGTTTAAATGACTTGCCCAAGATAGTAGCAAAGCAACACCTTTATGGCTGGCTATTCTATACAGAATGGATTAAACTATTTATTTATTCAACTTACAGATATTAATTCTGTATTTACAAAACTATCAAAGCAGTATTTCTGAAGTGAGAAACCTCACATGGAATCCCAAACTCAGCCCCAAATAACCTGGTTTTCAAAAACTAAATCATGTGAGTGGAGTCTGTAATCATCACGTGTCATTAGTTTGGGAGAATTCCTCTGGCATGGAGAAGAGATTTCTGAATCAGCTCACAGAAAGAAGATGTATTTTGGGAATCAGTGTAGAATGGGAGTGGAATTCTTTTTATAATTTAGAAAAATGAAGGAAAATGGTGGTGTAAGGGTTATCACTCAGGAAAAATGATCAGATGTAGGCCAATCATTTAATAAGAGCAAGGGCTGGGTAGCCTGAGTACAGAATTGAACATTGCTATTTAAGAAATGTAAAAAGACCTAGAGGAAGTTCTCTGGGTTGTTGGATAGATCTTATGGGGAAATAGGTGCAAGAACTCAGAATGAGAAGGCACAGATGAGTCACTATGGAGGAAGTACCCACCCACATTCATGAGATCTTGGATTTACTGAGTAGGAGTTCTCAAACTTTTTCCTCTCGGGACCTCATCACGTTTAAAAAAAATATTGAAAACATTTCATCAAAAGCTTTTGTTTGTGTGGGTTGTGTATCTAATGACATTTAACCTATTAGAAATTAATTAGAAATTAGTTTTGACCTGAAAAACCTCAGGGAAAATATTTTTTGCCTCAGGGATCCCAACATGTTCCTGGACCACACTATGAGAACCACTGTACTAAAGTATTGAAGTTAAAGTATTCAGGGGGAAAACAACTCTTGTAGTGTGTGTGTGTGTGTGTGTGTGTGTGTGTGTGTGTGTGTGTGTGTGTGTGTGTGTGTGTGTGTTAGAATCTGCTGAGGTAAATGAGTACTAAACTAGGCTATTCTAGGTCTCATAGAACAAATTTACCTATCTACCCGAGAGAAGGAACAGTGGCTCTCTATGGGATATTTAATACACAGACATTTGCAATCATCTAGATAATTTGGGTGTTTTGTAGATAAAACAAAACAAAAATCTACTCCTGCATTAAGTAAAATCCTCATGGATAATGGGGCTGGTCAAAAGTGACAATAAAAAGGTTGAGTCAATGGTATAGTATTCTTTGTTCCTTATTTGAATTTGGGAGGGCATAATGTAAGCAGTATTATTCTCTCTCTTTCTGGTGGGATGGCAGTAAGATCCCATTATTCACAGAATAAAGAGCTAAGTTCCTCTCTTTTTCCTTTCTCTTCCTCTCCTTCATTACTCCTTTTCTGCTTCTTCTTCCCTTTCCCTTTATTCCTTCTTTTTCCTATTTTTTTCCTCTCCCTTCTTTTCCTCTTCCTTCAATCTTTCTTCTTCTCCTCCAACTCCCCTCCTCATTCCCTCCCTACTCTCCTTTCCATTCTCCTTTTCCTCTTCCCCTCCTCATTTTCCTCCTTATTATTACTATTGTTATCTCAATGTATAAACCACTTCTTAGGGAATTAGTTAAGCATCCTTGGAAGCTGTATTAATTCTCTTAGGCCATAAATCGCTATTTCAATGCAATAAATGGTCCCCTGGAGGCCTGCAAATGAATGCAATATCTACCTGATTAACTCCTGAGGAAAAGTTTATTTCTGTAGGACTCCAGTGTTCATGAACTACCTTGGGTTACATGAAAGTATATTATCTCAAGCCCTGGTTTAAATGTATACTGACTAATAATACCTATCACCAGAGAATCTATAGATGTAAGGGAAACTCAATTTACAAATATAGCCACCTGATTTCTTTCTCTCTCTCTCTCTCTCTCTCTCTCTCTCTCTCTCTCTCTCTCTCTCTCTTTCTTTCTTTCTTTCTTTCTTTCTTTTTCTTGCTAGGCAATGGGGTTAAGTGACTTGCCCAGGGTCAAACAGCTAGTGTCAAATGTCTGAAGCTGAATTTGAACACAAGTCTTCCTGATTCCAGGGCCAGTGCTCTATCCACAGCCACCTAATTTGTAGGATGTTTTTTAAAGTGGTGCGGAGGGAGTGGACTTGTAATTATACTGGTGTAGTGAATTCCTCAATAAATAAATTCCCTTGATCAGTGCAGGCTGACACCTTCTCTGCACCGTAGAATCTTAGAGAATTGCCCAGATCATTGAAATATTAGGTAATTCTAAGACTTCATGGCCACTATGCTATACTATGTTATGCTGCTTCTTCCCTCTAAATTTGATGCCTTCTACATTCAGATTATTGTTGTTATGTCATTTCAGTCATGTCTGATTCTTCATGACCCCATTTTGAGATTTTCTTGGCAAAGATACTGGAGTGGTTTGCCATCTCCTTCTCCAGCTTATTTTACAGGTAAGGAATTGAAGTAAACAAGGTTAAATGACTTGCCCAAGGTCACACAGTTAGTACATGTTTGAGGCTGGATTTGAACTCATAAAGATGAATCTTTCTGATTCCAAGCTTAATGCTCTATCCACTGCACCACCTAACTGCCTTCTACATTCAGGAGGCCTTGAACGAAGCTTTGGTAGCCCCAGCCTAGTTATAGCTCTGTCTATATTGCTTTAAAACTGTTATGAAATTTATACAAATTCAAGAGGCTCCTCCCAGGGAACATAAGGTAGAGAAACTCAGCTTTCGTGGTGATTTATGGATAGAAAAGATGGCTAAGAGTTATGTTTTAAATAATGGGTCACATGTATCACTTTTGTAGACCTTAAGCATAAAAAGTCCAGCATGCCACTTGGGTGGCATCAGCATCAGGGCTAGCAAAGAAGATAGCAGATTATTTAAGGAGTCCCATTGCTGAACAGGCACTAAGTTATGTGTGTATACATACCAGGTTTTCAGGGATTCCTAAAAAGCAACTCTGAAGCCAAGGAAATTTCAAGAGTCCCTGGGATCATTTTAGAGATGCAGACCAAAGTGAATCAGTCAATCAAAGCTTCTAAACTCAGTAGAATCCCAGAAGAAGGGACTGTTACGAGCATTAAATTAATCTAAAACCACACCAAACCTGACAGTGACTTGATTAGAGTGAAATGTCTCGTGCTCATCCTAAGATTGCTTCATATCTTTAGAATGAGTAAGGAAGAACCCAATGTTTACACTGGGCTTTGGCCTGTTGAAACATGGCCAACATGTGAGTTACATAAAAATGCATTGTGGGTAGGTGAAGCTGCTCTTTGGCATTCCTTCTCTTCATAATACTTCCCCTCTTCCCCAAGCCTTCCACTCCAAGTACCCTACTACTACTATCAAGGCATTGAAATGGTGAAGTGTAATTAATGCTAGACCTGAAGTCAGGAAGACTCATCTTCCTGAGTTCAAATCCAGCCTCAGACACTTACTAGCTAGCTGTGTGACCCTGGGCAAATCACTTAACCCTGTTTGCCTCAGTTTTCTGATCTGTAAAATGAGCTGGAGGAGGAAATGGCAAACCACTCCAGCATCTTTGCCAAGAAAACCTCAAATGGGGTCACAAAGAGTCAGACACAACTGAAATGAGTGAGTATCAACAAACAACTGCTCTCCGTATCCTGGTCATTCATCCACAAAGATTTAGTTGTCTTTCAAAGCCCATACCTAGTTCCATCTCTTCACAGTGACTTTTCTCTTACTCCTTACATGACTTCCCAGATCATTTATTTATTTGGGTCATGCATATGGACAATACATTGTAGCTTGCTCTCTCTTGGACTTTAGCTGTTTAATGTGTATAAGTCTTCTCCATAAATCTCCCCATCCACGTCTATATTGTAAGCTCTCTAAAGGCATAAAGCCTGATAGAATTCTTTTATATCCCCTACTTCCAGGAGAAGAGGAGATACCCAGTATATTCCTGCTAAATTTAATCACTAAATTATCCCTCCAACCCAGTAATCTGGTGTTCCTCCCTGCCCAACACACATTCAATACACACAATATACACACAACATACAATTTATATTCAGTTGGTCAATGCCTTTATCAGGGTGACTCTACCTAGGCTTCTCCTCTTAGGTACTTCAGTCCCCAAGGGCTTATGATTTCTATATTTTTCTCTTACCCCTAACCAAATGAACTTTTCTTGATATGTCTCCAGGCGTAAGCTGTCTGTGTGCCTTCCAAGGAGACATCTAACAAATCTGTTCAACTAGTCCTCGATACTGTGATCACAGGAGGTTAAAAACCATCCCCAGTTTCATCTCTTCTTTTCCAGGTAACAAGTGTACATTTAAACAGTGGCTTTTTATGGAAACAATATTCTAGCTTTCGTTGCTTAACTGGAAGGAGCAATATTAATAGTTGGAAGTCCAAGCTTGGAAGGGGAAGAGAGGAGAATCCTGAAAAATCAGTGAAGTAGATGTGTGTCAGCATGCAGGACTTGTGCTTCTCAATCCCATTTTGGAAATCATCATCCTGTAACTAAGCCTACCTATAGTCTGGCCCTGGGTCACGGCTCCATGGTTTCCAAATTTTGTGTAGTAACACCCCTCCCTAGTTTTTTAAGGCAAAAAATGTTTTTATTAATTCATATTTCATAAATAAGTATACAATTAATTTTCTAATTATTTTATTCAAATAAGTTAATAATATATTACAATAACAACACAAATATTAAGCATACTATTAAGCTGATATATAAAATAACATAATCGTTGTATTGCATTCACTGTCACAGGATCATAGATTTAAAGATGGACAGAACCCTTAAAGTTACCTAGTGCAACTCCTTCATTTCATAGTGGAGCCCAGAATAGTTAAGCAACTTGCCCAATTGTCAGAGCCAGGATTTGAACCCAGGTTCTTTGACTCTGAATGCAATATTGCTCCATTTTGTCTCCCAAAGACAAAGGTAAAAAATACAGTTATGGCTAATGGCTCCCTAAATATTTAAATTGCCCTACTTCTGAGCAGTAAGCTGAAGGGAGGCCCTTAGCCAACTGGCATCCTGCCTGGAAAGACCCTCAACCTAACTCCAGGAATTTCATTGGGGGAAGAATGGTAAGCTCAGGACTAGGACACAGTAAGCGCTAGATAGGATATTTGAGCAGCAGCACCCAGATGGCTGACTAACTAGGAGTGTCTGAGGGCTCGTAGGGTCCATAAAGAGAGGCATTGGTTTTGTCTGAACCCAGATCATCCTCTCCTTCCAGTTGAGTATCCAGAGACTGAGTATAAAGAGAAAATGGATGCCTGGGAAAGCTTGAAGACGCAATGGGATTGGGGTGGGAATGAGGCGATAAAGGGTTGAAGACACATTCCCCAAAGCCAAAGCTGATCAACTGTCAGGCTCCAGTGCCCTTCCATTCCACCAGTCCCCCACCCCTTGACCTAGAATGAATATGCTATGTTACCATCAACTTCATTGACTTTATTATCATTGAAAAATGTGGGTTATTTATTTGGAAGTTGTATTAAAATATTAATAGTTTTGGTCATTGCTTTGTGAGGTCTTCTCCTCCTCCCACAGTTCTATAACCCCTAGGCGCATGCCTTGTAGGTTGGAAAACTCTGCATGAAGTGCATTTCTGTATCTTTTTTTTTTTTGAGGCAATTGGGATTAAGTGATTTGCCCAGGATCACATAGCTACTAAGTACTGAGGCCAGATTTTAACTCAGGACCTTCTGACTCCAGGTCTGGTGCTTTATCTACTGTGCCATCTAGCTGCCCTATATGTGTGTGTGTGTGTGTGTGTGTGTGTGTGTGTGTGTGTGTGTGTGTGTGTTTTGGTGTATTTTCTTCTTACTCCTAGAGAAAGTTTCCCCTTTCTTCCCACCTGCTATGAAAATCAGCGTAGTCTCCACAATAAGCTACCAGTTATGACTTCCTTTGTGCTCCTGTTCATTGTCAGCTCTAGCCCAGAGTCTGTTAATCTTTTTTTGTGTTTGGGACCCCTTGGTTAGACTGGTAAAGTCTACAGACTTCTTTTCAGAATATTTTTTTTTCAAAATCGTGATTGAAGGAAGTGCTAAATTTCAGTTAGAGGTTACTGAAAATAAAGACATACTTTTTCTTCCTATCTGAATTCATGGATCCCTGAAAGCTAGTCATGTGCCTTATAGACATATAGCTCTAATGGTCTATCTTCTCCCACTTGCTCCCCAAACATCTTCCTCTGTCCTGTTCTAACCTAATATGACCACTTGTGCCTTCTTTAAAATGAGTAGAAATGGGATAAAAATTCCACTTTCAGGCAAGCAAATTTTTTGGAAATTGATTTGCATGCAGCACATATATTGCAGTTGGTAGAGCTTGTGACTAAAAAAAAGTCATTTCCTGTGATTCTTGAAAATTACAGAAAATAAGCTAGTAGTTGCCCACAAGGCTATTGAGATTCAGGCTGCCATCTGGAAGAGAAAGGCATACCCTGGTGAAGGCTCAGGAGGTAGACCCTACAGGTACAAATTGACATCTAGGAAAACAGTAGTCAATACATTTTGGAACTTGCAGAGGGGAAGGAGGAAAAGTATTAAGATAAATGCATGTCAAGCAGATAAATTTGGACTCCTCCAAGGGGATCTGACAAGTCAAACATGCAACAGTCATAAATTACTCATAAGAGTAAAAATCTTGTCATTTAAAACCTTTTAAACCACAGGCTCATTTAACACATCAAGTCACAGATGATCATCTCAGACGAGTCAGAGTGGGGATTTGTTTCACTTCTGATGTGCAGAAGTGGGCACAGGCCATGCATGATCTACAAAAGACTCCCATTCGTGGAGCAACAGAATGAGCCTGATAGATAACTGGGGCAGTCTCAAGATGATGAATGTGTCAAGATATGAAAAACATTTCTGTCCTTATGAAGAAAATGAAGATGTGATTGGAAATGGCATGCCTTGAGTTTTATCATAATGAATAATTTTAAATATATACTGACATTATTCTATTTATTTGTTGGGGTTTTTTGGAAGCCATTGGAAGTTACTGAGGCTGAAAGTATGTTTCAACATGCCAGACATATTTACTCTATCTTGTAATCATGTCGCCTACTTTTTCATAGGCAAGCAATAATTTGAACTCTATAGTTATTTCAAATATCTCAAAATACTGTCCAGCAGATTAGAAAACATTGTCTTGCAGCCATTTTAGGGATATTTTCTAGATGAGAAGAAATAGTCATGTTTATGTACTGCTGTGAGGTTGGCAAAGCCCATTACTCACAATCATATTGTGAGGTAGGTTGAACAAGTCATGTTATCTATTAAGTCAGGAACTGGAGCTCGGAGAGTTTCAGTAATGTGCTCAGGGTCATATAGCTAACAAGTGATAGAGTCAGGCCAGGACTGACTTCTAAGCCAGACCACTACACTGCAAATCTTAATTTTTTTCATCATGGATCCCATAGTTTGGGGAAAGCAGCGGATCCCTTTTCAGAATAATGTTCTTAAATAATTGAAAAAATGCTAAATTGTAGTTAGATGATAGTAAAAATCGAGATGTAATTTTTCCCATCTAAGTTTATGGACTTCTTGGTCCATGGATCCCAGGTTAAAAGCTTTTGGTATAGTGGATAGAAGTCTGGGCATTCTAGTGTAGTTAGGTGCTGGACCTGAAGTCAGGAAGACTCATCTTCCTGAGTTCAAATCTGGCCTCAGATACTTACTAGCTGGGTGACTCTGGGCAAGTCACTTAACCCTGCTTGCCTCAGTTTCCTCATCTATAAAATGAGTTGGAGAAGGAAATGGTAAACCACTCTAGTTAATCTTTGCCAAGAAAACCCCAAAGGGGGTCACAAAAAGTTGGGCACAACTGAAACAACTGAACAACAACAATAGAATGCTGGACTTGATGTCAGGAAGACGTAGGTTCAAGTCTCAGCCCAGGCATACTAACTGTGTGATCATGACCAAGTCACTTAACTGATATGAATATCCATTTCCTCTTCTGTAAAATGAAGATATTTGACTCAATAGCCTCTAAGATCCTTTCTAGCTCTAAAGCTATGATTCTTTTCCCGCTGCATTCCACTGTACAGTAAGGACTAAGTAAATTGACAGTTAAAGCTACCTGCAATGTTACTTGGAAGACTCCCTAGAAGTTGGAGATTTGGGAAACAAACAGTAGTTTTTGTGAGAAGATAACTGAAAATTGTGTGTGCCTGTAGGGATGGTAGTGGGGGAGGGAGTTTTTTGCTGCCTTTTACTCAGTATTCAATAAATATCTGTAGGTACTCAAACATTTATGGCTCAACTAATTGAAGGAGACAAGGAAGCTTGATGGAGAGAGAGGGAGAGGGAGGGGGTGAGAAAGAGAAACACAGAGAGACAGAGACAGAGACAGAGAGAGAGAGAGAGAGGAGAGAGCAGAGAAAGAGGGAAGTGAGGAAAGAGAGAGAGGAGAGAGAGAGAGAAAGAGAAAGAAGAAATAAAGGAAGGAGAGAGAGGAAAGAGGAGAGAAAGCAAGAGAGAGAGTGAGTGAGAAAGGGAGAGGGGGGGAGGGAGGGGAAGAGAGAAAGAGAGACAGAGAGAGAGAATAAAAAATAATATGGAGAGGCAACAGGAGGAGAGACAGACTACTCCCTGTTTCCCATGTCTTCCTCTATTCCTTATAATCAAATTTCCATGACCTCCTTGTCACCAAATGTAATAGCTTTTTGTCACTCCTCCATTTTTTGACTTCACTGAAATGTTTGACACTATTAACTATACTCTCCTTGCTCTCCTACTTCTATTATCACTCTTCCATCTCTTTTTCTAAATTCTCTTCTTCCTTATGCCCACTAAATGAGGCCATCTCATAATATTCTGTCTTGGGTCTTCTATTCTTTTCTCTTAACATTCTCCTAAGTAGATGATCCCCAAATTTATAGTCCCAGCCCTGATTTCTGCTTTGAGCTTTAGCTTTGATGACCTGGACTTTGATGACTCTGGAGGAGAGAGTGAGGCAGATGACTTCCCGTGGCTCTGCCTCAGTCATATCCAATTCATGAGCAAGTCAAGACATCATCCTTGTGATGTCATCAGTCCTCTCTGAGAACAAAAGATGAACAACAGTAACAGCAACATCCAGCAAACAAATAGAAACACAAAGCTAGCATCTCAGAGTGGGAAGGGGCATCAGAAGGTACTTAACTTTCAGTTAGTTCTAATTATTCGGAAAATTTTCATTGTAGTAAGCTGAAATTTATAGTAAGGTGGCCCCTCCAAAACCCTAATGTGGTCTTAAAGCACAACTGGAGAAGGCATTAATTCTAGGTGGGGGATGGGTGATAGTTGTGTTGTATTGTCCTATGATTAGATGATGATGATGACGGTGACAACAACAGTTATATAGTGCTTACTATGTGTCAGTAACTGTGCTAAGCACTTCACAATTATTATCTCATTTGACTGAAATTTAGATCGAACTTTTGAGGTCATCTGAAACAACCACCTTCCTAGCTGAGTAGGGCAGTGGATAGAATGCTGGATGTAGATAGAGTCAGGAAGTTTCGAATCTAACCTCACACACTAACTACATGACCCTGGACAAGTTGTTGACCTCTGCTTGCTTCTGTTTCCTCATCTGAAAAATGGGAATAATAATAGCACTTACCTTCCAGGATTTTTCTGAGAATAAAATGATAATATTTCTAAAGCATTTTACAAATTTTGAAGTGCCATGGAAATGCTAGCTATTATTATTACTATTATTAACTATTATGAGGCTTAGGCCAGTTGTGATTTCCATAAAGTCTCATAGAGATTAAGTGACAGAGCCGAGATTTGAAGTCTTATCCTCTGACTTCATCTCCATCCCTCATTCCAGTCTAACATAGTGCTTCCCCTTACATTTCAAGTACTATTTTAGTTCTGGGTACTGCATAACAGAAAGGCTATACAAGAGTAGAGTGAAAAAACAATTGATGTTTAGTTTGGAGAAAAGAGGACCTAGAGGAGATATGATAGCTGGCCAATTATGAGCTTGGTATATAAAAGAAGGATTTTATTTATCTATTTATTTATTTGATTTAGTCCCAAAAGGAAGAGCTTGGAACAATGGGTGAAAGATGTAGAAAGGAAGATTTTAGCTCAATAGGAAGAAAACCTTTTTGTCAGTTAAAACTAACTGAAAGTAGAATGGGCTGCCCCTCACTAGGGGGTCTTTAAGCAAAGGTTAGGTGATCACTTATCTAGTATGCTGCAAATAGCATTTTATTCATGTAAGCTTAGGAATAGATGACCCTTAGGAATAGAGACAGACAGAGAGACAAAAACACAGATAGAGACAGAGACACAGAGAGAGACAGAGACACAGAGAGGAAGAGAGAAAAAAGAGACAGTGAGAGAGAAACACACACATAGACAGAGAGACAATCAAAGACAGTGGAAAGGGCATCTGATTTAGAATCAAAGGATGTGGGTTTTAGTCTGACTTCTGACTCTTACTAATAGATTATACTTGGGCAAATCACTTTACCTTTTTATTAGCTCAGTTTCTGACTTTATAAAATGGATCATAGGATAATAGATCTTAGGGGCCATCATGTCCAGCCTTCTTATTTTACAGATGAGGCACAGAGAGGTTGTCATTTGCCATGTCTGAGGTGGGATTTGAACCTGTTTTCTTGACTCAAAGTCCAGTATCTAATAAGACTTATACTACCTTCCTCAAAATGTTTTTAAGGAAAGTTCTTTGTAAATCTTAATGTGCTATAGTGATTTGAATGATCATTAGTATGGTTTTTAAAAAATAAACCTTAATGTATTGTAAAAAATGTGAGGTATTATTATTAATAAACAATAAACAAAGAACTCATCAATTCAATGGGGGACAATAATCAAAACAGTATTTTGTTTTCATGCAGACCAAACAATTGACTAAAATTTCACTTTCATACTTCATAGTTGCTTTGGCATCATCAGCTACAAGTAGAAAAAACTACTTCCCAGAAGAAGCTATCTCAGTATCAACTGAATGGACATTCAGAAACTGGTATAAAGTGACACATTGGTTATTACATTTGCTGATTATTATGGAAATCCGTTTTGGTTACTAACTAGTTATTCAATAATTATTTGAGTGTCTGACTGATTGTATTAAAAATAAACAATAAATTCTCAATAAATTCTACCCCATTTTCAAAATAAGTTGTCCAGAGACACATACATTATATGTTGTTATGTTATATGCTTCTATCTACCATTTAATTTAGAGCCTGGCAAGCAGCAATTGCTTTATAAATATTTATTAACTCACTGTTGAAAGAGTGTATATAATGTATTTGTATGAACATACTAGCCAAGTCTCTAATAAGGTAGAGATCTGAGACAATTGTCTGGACAATTTAGGCAAAAAGTCTATAACTGAGAGAAAACTGAGCTTGAATTAATTATCCAAATTAGCTGTCTATGTTAATTGAACACACCAACTAAATACTTGACTCTTCATTTGACCTTTGTAGACACAACTTTTGGCACTTGCCAGCCCTCATAAGCCTGACAAGAGAAGAAAGCATAAGAGATAATGTGGCAGGTCTTCATGCAGGAGAGACATCAGAGAATTGAGGTGATTATCCCAGTAATTCAAGTAATCCATATCCAATTCCTTTGCTTCAATTGCCTATATATTTCAGTTTAAAGCTTTTTTGTGTGTGCTTGAATTTTGTTTATGTATACATACAAATGCTGTGTGTGTGTGTGTGTGTGTGTGTGTGTGTGTGTGTGTGTGTGAGAGAGAGAGAGAGAGAGAGAGAGAGAGAGAGAGAGAGAGAGAGAGAGAGAGCGAGCGAATCTGGGTAGGGCTGTGTTTACATACAAATGGATTGGGGAGGGGAGAATTAAATTCATTTGAACTCTGGGTAAGTTTGGTAATATTTAAAATATTTAGTTGCTAACCCATTGTTTAATGCAGTTGTTGTTAAGGACGTTTAATGAATGCTTACTGATCAATTGGATGATTTTTGCATGTAATTTTTGTTCTTAGTCACTATATGCACATGTATATGTTTTCACCATAGGACATTAGTGCTGTAGTGGCAGTAGTGCCATCTAATCTGTGTGCCAATTGTTGTATACGTGGCCAAAGCTGAAAATGGTTCCCCAAACTAGCCTAGCATTAGGAGGAAATTTCCATATTAGCTTTCCTTGATCTGTACACTGCATGGAGTTCAAAATTTTTTCTTCATTTTTACACCCCTGGTACCTAACAAAGTGCCTGGCACAGAGTAGTAAATTAATAAATGATGTCAGTGGTTGATTGATTGATGTATGTAGCTTTCTTTAATGTTGTTGAGAGGAGATATTTATAGGAGAGAAAAACTGAGAGGAGTCATAAGAAGTTGGGAAAACTTTTTTTATTATATTAATCAAAATGGCAAACAAAGACTCTCAGAAAGACATGTGTGCAAAATCATCCTAGTTAAATAAACCCAACTCCACTCAGCAAGCGTTTAGTAGATTCTCTCTCTGTTCAGAACACTGTTATAGGCATTGGGGAAGACATGAAGATATGTAAGAGCTGGTCCTTACCTGCATGAAGTTAACTGCATATTGGCATCCCAATAAAGCTAAAAAAGCTCATAGCCGTGTTTATGTAACTAGAAATTTTAGATATACTACTAAAGTTTTAAAGAGCCATCCCCTCCTCATTATTTTAAAAATCAATTTCAAAATAAATAGGTTTTGAGTGCATTGCATTTTTTATTTCTGGAGGGAGTGTTGCTTGTTCAAAAAGAACTTTAAGGCCATTCTTCATTGTATTGTGTATTTTGCAAATACAAACCAGAAACACCTTGACATCTAAGCATTAGTAAACAAAATAACTGATCTTTAGCCAGTAAGAACCTATAGCAAGTTTGGAAGCTTTAGTGGCATATAAATAAAAGCAGTAGTTTATGGAGCTTTTTTTAAAAAAACAAATCTGTATGAATCCTCCACAAAATCTTTTGTTAAATTACTAGAACCTGAAACTAGAAAATAGAGAGAAAAAGGCTGAGGCTAGAATCCCTTTCCTGTGGCTTCAGATTTAACCTCTTGGAATCACTTCAGCTATGAAAATCTTACCATTCTTCAAAGTCTGGCTCAAATGCTACCTTCCTTGATCTTACCTGAACCTCTGCCTCATAGGTGGGAAATTATCTTTCCTTCCTTAGACCTTGAATTGCATGTTATGTTCCTCTTTTTTTTCTATTCTGCACTAAACGGTGGCTTATTTGTGTAGATGCTGCATTCCCTTTACCTACCCTCCCTCCACCACCAAGCTCCACGAAGTCAGAAACTTAATTTTCTATCTTCCCTTGTCCAGCACAGTTTCTATGTGACAGTAGTCAGTTAATAAATGATTGCTGATTTGAGTTGGGACAAATTAAATTGGATTGAATCTCTAAGCCCTCAGTGCCTTATTTTAGGGCAGTTTGGGTTATATAAGTCCATGCAGGTCATTCCCTGTGCACCCAGAGAATTTTTTTTAAGGTAAACATTTATTGAATACTTAGCCACAAAAGACATTGTTTTTATTCATCAAACTAAAGAAACTGAATCTTAATCTTTCTAAATGAAGATTATACTTTAGTATTTGTATTATACTTTTACAATATAATTATGATTTATATTTTAAGTTATACTTTACTTTTAAAATACAAGCTTTTAAAATGAATCAAAAAGAAAAATTTTTTTTGCATACTAAAAGGTGTCCATAACATGCCTTGTACACCTGCCTATGTCAGACCATTAGAGAAGCCACCACCTGTGGCCCTATTTTCCCAAAGGAAATAGATTTTCAAAGGCATATGTAGAAAAAAAAGAAAAAATATGTAGGCATGAAATAAATACTTACCCATGTAGGAATCACCAAATGTGATTTCCAGTGTCTTTAATCTGGGAATTACAACCCCCCAAATGGGTTAACTCACAAGACCTTGGTCTGGTTATTGAATCCTTCAACCTTTATTTTTATGGATTGATTGATTAATGTCTCATTCATTGATGTAAATATGTTTAGAGGAGAGAAAAATCTAGAGATTAGTCATAGGAACTTGGGAAAACTTTTCTGTGGCTGTCTTACATTGTACCACTTCATCTTCACCTAATAATTTGCTGACACCTGAAATACGTTAATTCACAAAGTCTTTGTGCAATATGTCCTTTAACAGGGGGCTCCTCTTGCCTTGTCCTGAGACCCACGAAGAGCCATAAAGGAAACCGGAGGAATGCCTAGAGCAGAAGGTTGGAGGGAAAGGGCTGCTAATATGATATCCCATGCTGTGGCAGAAGCCCAAGAACCCAAAGTCAGTAATCATTACAAATCAAATGGGATTTAGTTAATTTTTGTATTTTTTTTTACTTCAAAACAAGTGTCCAAATTATAGCAAACTTGAGCCCAATTAGTGCTTGCCCTCTGGAAACTTGACAAGACAATTATTGTAACATGCTAAAATCTTGACCAATGGCCCTTCACTCATGCTGCACCAGTATCACCATTCTAGATACTTTCTAGAGGAGAGAAGGGCCTGATTTAAATATTACTTAACATTAGTTTTAGCTGGGGTGGATTGGGAGAGAGGTAGAAGGATGACAATTTAAACGCTGTTTCCACCTAAATAAAAAGCATTTCTAGAGGAGTAGGATCTTAACTTCCTCATACTGCTTCTAGAAGCATATTTGTGTATATAAGTATTACACACACACACACACACACACACACACAGAGATATGTCTGAACATGCATATGTGCATAACTATATTCCTGCATCTTTCCCTCCCCTCCCCCCTGGGTGGGGTGGGGGTGGGGGAGTCACAGAATAGCTGAGGTTGATATTGTTTCACTTTCAGCACTCTGCTCCTTACCTCATCTCATTCTTCCCAGGATGATTACCTTAGCATCCTATATGCACAATTTAAAGGGAATTACCTATTACTTCAATTATTTGTTTCTTATCAACTGATGTTACACTACAAGGATTTGCATTGAAAGGACACAAAGAAAGAGCAAGTCATGGCACATTGCCAAATAAAAGAGTAATGTTCTGGTGAATTTAGCCTAAATAATTTACTGCTATATAAAAGTGGAAAAGTGGAAGGTGAACCCTTTGACCAATAAATCTCCTCTGCATGTGAAACCCTTATCTTGTCCCCTCCAATATATTCCACACTAGGAAGCCATCATCATTGGCTCTGGTTTGTTATTTGTAAACCTTGATCTTCTGCACTCGGTGTCCTAAATATGGATAATTAGCATCAGTTTATCACGCCTGTGCATATTTTCTCTTCTCTCCAAACATGCATGCTTCTATTGGCTGCCATTCTGCCACAGAAGATTATGGAGACAGATTGCAGAGAATGAATGTGCTAAACGAGATTAGGAAGGAATAGAAATAGCAACTTGGCCAATAAATTCCTCGTGAGAGCCTTATCATACAATTACACGTTGACTTGTTTCACACTCTCCCAGCCTCTTAATCCAAGGCCCCCACCAAGAATAAAATTTCACTAATTTCTGAATTACTGCATATCCTTCTGACTTGTCACTGAGAATGGTTAGAAGACGCGATCCTGTTGAAAACAGCATGTCGAACTTTACAACTAAAAAGGCAAGTTTAAAAAAAAACTTTAAATGTTGAAATCAGTGTCTGAGATGTTTACAGAATGTAGTGGATGATACAACAGTTTGAGGCATCTGAAAAATGAAAGCATGGAGATTTTCTCCTTTCATTTCATTTCCAAATTCTCTACTTTTGTCATGTTGGGTGACTGGCAGAATTGTCCAAAAACTGGAATTGCTGCCTTTATTATGTACTGCTTGATATCATAATGGAACTGTTGACCTACCTGCCTTCTTTATTATTATTATTATTATTATTATTATTATTATTATTATTATTATGTAGCAACAATAGCGATAGTGCACCTGTGTGATTTGGGGCAAAGCATTTGCCCTTTCTGGACCTCAGTACTCTCATCTGTAAAATGAGGGCATGGGACTACATGATCTCTGAGGTCCCTTAGAAGTCTAACGTTCTATGGTTCTATGATTCTATAAATATAACTATATATATATATATATATATATTAGAAAAAACTTTCTCTCTTTGCCTTATGGATGAGTATAGCCAAGAATTCCGTGGGATGGTAGATTAGAGAAGGGATGTCATGTAACCTCTACAAAGGAAACGCTCTTCTTGTTCCTCTTCACCTATTTATCATTATTCTCACCCAGGCTTGATAATAAGTTAGGCATTTAAAGAGACGCATTAACTCTTTCAGGCCACTAGGGGACCATTTAGCACAATGCCCAGTGATGCATTACTGCACATCCACAGGATGAATGGCATCTTGCTGTGAGTAAACACTGCAGGGTTGGGGGACGCTTGTGTCCATTGGAAAGGATGGAAATCCTGGTGAAATCTTCAAAATGATAAATTTGCACTTGAAAAAAATAGCAGGACAGGCGCTCTAGGCAGGAAGGGAGGGACTGGATAGTTAGCTCACTAAACAGGCCACATCAGCTATCAAATAGCATTTTCCAAGAATGTGTAATCATAATTCTCTCTTTTCTTTTTCATCTGAAGTGATGATCCTCACAAATCATAGAAAAAGACCTTAAGTAAAAGAGGCATACACTTCCCAAGACATCTTTGACTTCTTTTGTATTTCTCAAAATTGAGAAAACTTATGTTGAGGCTTTTAAAAGCTTCTAGGTGGTCTTAGGCTGTTTGCTGAGTGTGCCCTATTTCCTAAAGAAATGACTTTCTTTCTTTCCTACCAAAAACACCAATGGGGAGGATATCTTCCCTCATTTTATATGCATGAAGAGAAAGTCAGGAGTAAAGAGAAGTAAAAAATAGGTACCACTGGGCAAATAGACCACTTTGTGGAAGGTAGCTGTCCCAAAGGGCAAGAGACAGCATTCTTGTATAAAATAACAAACAAGTAGAGTTTATTCCTTCCTGGGACCAAAGCCATGAGAACATGGGCTGTTGGTAGCTTGAGAATCAACCCTTCAAGGAGTATGCCAATTTCCTATGCCATTTGGTCAAAAGAACACAACATGGGGCATCTATCTTCTTTCCCATACCCACTTTTCTTACTTATTGTCTGTCATCATGGACAGGTATGTAGGGATCTATAGAAACCCTAACTTGGCAGCACTGAATATCTGATTAAGAGAATGGGGCTGATTCAGATTTTTTCAAGCATAGGCTTATTTCAACATCCCTCTCTCCTCCTATCTTGTTTGAATCTCCTTCTTTCCTATCTATAATGTGATTGCCCTGCATTTGAATTATGTTTTATGCTTTTCAAACTGTTTTCATAGCCATTAACCCACGTGATCCGGCAACAGCCCTGTGAGGTTAAGGATAAGTCAGGAGAAGCACTATTATTCCCATTTTCCAGATGCTAAAAACTGAGTCTCAGATAAGTTAAAGTGGCAAAACCATGACTCAAAACTAAATTTCTTGACCCCAAGGCCGATCTTTCGACTGCCTCTCTTGGCACGGAATTCATGTCCTGCTAGGCATCTGGAAGACACGTTCAACCTTCAGAAATTTAGTGGGGCCTGAGGGTCTTGGCACAGATCTAGAACCAACACCAGAACTTCCTGGCCTTGTTGACAAGGTACACTCACCCTGGGGAAGTGGAGGAGAAGGAAGAGGGATATAAGGACAAGAAAATATGAAAGCATATGAAGTGATATTAATAATTGGCTCCTTCTTTTCCCTCCCCCCCTCCTCACCCTCCATCCCACTCCCACCCCCACCCCTTTTTGTATATTTCCTGAATTGGTGAGCTTCGTCTGGGGGGAGCCGTTTGCCATTAATCTGGGAACAAACTGCTAACCTCGGTGACTGGTATTTTAGCTTTTCTTTTCTCACTTTTCTTAGTGTGGGGAAAGCAGTAAAGCTTGTGTGGACTGATTGTGAGGGGCTCTGCTGGAATTTGGCAGCGCGAAGGCTTGGAGAGCAGCCCCATGCTGGCTCCTATTCACCGGGCCAGTATTCCTCGAGCTTTGGAAGTTTCACTCAGCCGTGCACTCAATGGCTTCACAAAGCTGATTACAAGCTTCAGCGCATTCCTGAAGGAGCCAAAAGCGACGCAGGTGCAAACGAGCCGAGGGAGCCCCCTTATCCCGGTGACAGAATGGGACAAGCTGGGAAAGGCTTGGACCACACAAATCCAAGGCTCACCAGGCAGCAGAAAGCCTGTCTTGGGAACCGGGGGTCATTATCCGCTCTATTCAGCGGGGACCCAGCGGCGGCGGCGGCAGCGGTGGCTGCTGCCGCAGGGTCTGTGGCGGTAGCAGCGGCACACAGATCACTGGGGACAGCTCCAGGGTGCTGGGGAGGCCCTGCCTGAGAGAACAGAGGCTTCCAACCGCGGAGAAGAGCCCTCAGCCCTGCTGCAGGACGGGGAGCTTTGGATATCTTGGAGTTTGCCCTATTCTAAAATCTTCAGACTAAATATACGTATATGGAAAAACTGTCGCAATAGTGATACAAATGTTAGGACTAGCTAGGATAGATGAGACTAACGGCCTGATTGTACAATGTAGCTTACTTCCAAACAGTTTCCTCCAAAATGCAGGAGGGGCAAACCGAGATTTTTTCCCTCTCTGAGACTCTCTGAGCTGAATTCCTATGCCCCCTCCCCATCTCGGAGCCCCCCACTGTCCTACTCCGGTCCACTTTAAGCATCTAACACTGGAGTATTCCAAGAATCCCAAATGTTTGCCCCTACCGAGACCCCATCTCCCATCTCCCACCTACTTTTTTCACTTCCCTCCTCCCCCATAATTCTAGAGTGCTGGAAAGTGGGTGCCACCAAGGGGGAAACCTAAGCATTCTCAGACTGAAAAGCCTTTTTATATTTCCTTCCATCACCTAAGGAGAGTTTGGAGGGTAATTCAGAGACTACTTTATGCCTAATTTTGGGGGGGCACTCGGAGCCCGCCCTGGTTGTATTTCCGTCTTAACGGTCCAGGATCAGGAGCTCCTTAGTTCGTGTCCCGAAACATTTCACCGAACCTGAGCTCAGAGAGGCAAGTTTCCTGCTTGCCTGATCTTTATTTCTGAGCTGTCCTACTCTAGTGGGAGAGAAGAGCCGCGGGTCACCTCGCACTGTAATTAATTACGGCCCTTAGCCGCTACCAATGACTGAGAAATCAGCCTTTCCCGGGGGTGGGGAGAGCGGGCGGGGGAAGAGATAGGTATAGAGACAGAAACAGAGAGGGGGAGAGAGAAAGAGAGAAAGAAGGAAAGGAGGAGGAGTTGGGGAGGGGAGGAGACGGAAGTATAAAAAGGGCTTTTCAATCTGAGATGGTAGGATGGAAGAGGTGAGAGAGAGGAAAAAGGGGGGGTGCAGATGGAGAGAAGAGGAGGGGAGTTGGACTTTGAGTTCCAACTGCCTCATATCGAGGCAATTCCAGTTTTACCACTTTCCTACAAGAGTAGAAAGAGGTTCAGACTTCTCTGTGTCCATTAATACATTCATACACTGTGGGGGGAAAAGGATTTCATCTCTTTGGGACGCCCGTTCCTTGCCCTTGGTGCCCTCTGGCCCCGAGCCACTGTGTGGGAAGACTGACTTTCCCCGCACTCTCGGCGCCCTCCCTCCCTCTGGCTGGGCTCGGCCTCTGAGGGCCAGACGGGTAGGTTTCCTCGTTCATTCTGCTCCGTGGGAATGAGTGCGTGCGGGCCGACTGCGCCACAGTCAAGCTACCCCCGCCTCTGCGCCCCCTTTAAGGGACTTTCTCGCACTCCCTCCTTTAAATCCCAGTTCCTTGCCCCCTGCAGCCTTTCTTTTCGGAGAAGTGCCTTCAGCGTTTTCTGCTGAGGTGGGAGCAACGTTAACTGTCCTTGCCTCCAAACCCACCCTTTCTTAATACTCTTTTTTGTTTGTCTTTTCATTCCTCCCATGGGCTTTCGCAAGGTCTGGTTTTTCTTAGTTGGGTGCAGGACACTAGGTCCAGGCGGCGGGCAGAGGCGGAGGCGGAAGCAGGGGTGAAGAGGCCGCCTAGGAGCTGGGTTGCCCGCGCGCGCCACTGCCTAGGCTGGCAGGAAGGTGCGGCGCGTTCTGATGTTCTTTTGTCTGATAACTAATTCAAGTTAATGCGATCTTTATGTAAAGCTAACAGCGGATAATTGTCTATTTTCTCGCCAACAATCTCCATCACAATCACTTATCTGGAAACCTGCGGTTGTATTAATCGTTATATTCCTCCCTCCCACCCCCCAGATAAGCGTCTCTCCAGTCACCAGTAAACACAGGAGGGGATTTAAACGAATTCCTGGTGCCCAGAAGTTGCTCGGTGCGGTGTCGGTCCCACCTATAGACAGGGGAGGGGGTGCCGACAAACAGGAACCCGCTGCTAACTCCGTGGTGTTTTGGGTAGGGTTTATTGTGGGTGGCTGGGGGGGGGGGAGACGGACGAGGTGGACAGAGTGAGAGAGTGAAAATGGAGAAAGCAGTGGCACCGAAAGAGGGGTGGTGGCTCAGCAGTGCCCCAAGGGTGGCGGAGACAGCTCGAGGTCGCTCTGTGCGCACGAAGCGCACCCTTAGTGTACCTGGCTATTAGGATGGTTGTGACGCCAAATCACATAAATCGATTATTTCACTCCCTCAGGCAAGAAACTGCCTGCCCCCCCTTTTTTGTAGATTGGGGAAACGTATAAACAAGGTGCAATTGAGTAACTTACACTCTCCCCTTTCCCTCTTCTTCCTTTACTTCCCCGCCTCCACCTTCACCAAGCTCACAAACTACCCTGATTTCCTTATCCTTCTCACCCTTTCATGGAAGAGGTTCAATACCAGCAACTTATTGGCAATATTTACACTAAACAATAATTGAAATCTCTAGGGAAAGAAAACATTGGCTGTGGAAATACGCTTCTGTGCTCCAACCAGCATCAGTACTGTGAGTTAGGTGGAAAGAAATCATAGCAAATGGTACTGAAAACCTCTCCGGGGAAAAGGTACTTGTATTGCAAAGATTTTGTCTTTTTGAGATGAAGTCAAAACGTCAATGTCAAATGAAAATCATTTTAATGGGTGTGTGTGTGTGTGTGTGTGTGTGTGTTACGTGAATGTCTGCAACAAGGGTGAAACAGGATTTAATTTTGAAACCAGGTACAGTGCTCTGTTGCTAACTTGGGGTGAAGGAGTTTTTGATTCAGCCTTCTCCTCCTTGAAACTCGGATTTGCCACCCGAGTGAACAAGATCCCCTAGTTTAAAATCACATTTCCGGAAAATAGCAAATTCAGCATCAATTCGTCACACATCTCTTTGGTCCCAGGGAAAGAAAGCATTACACATGGGTCTCCATTTCCATAGTTTAACTTACAAGAAAAAAAAACTTTTAAAAGTGAACGAGTCAAACTAAATAAAACAGCCCCAACACTGATTTTAGCTTAAAGTGGGAACAAAAAACCGCCTCCTTGAATTTGGGAGATCGTGGATGCCTATTGAAATCCGCAATTTCTGAATCTGCCCATTGGCAACTGATGAGGTCTTTATAAACAAACACGCAGACACTGAAACTGAATAAACTGTGTGGCTGATTCTTGTCCCATTCGCGCCGGAGTTCCCAGGGCTCCTTTTTCTTAAGGCTTTCGAGAATCATCCCACTTCATCTCTCACCTGAATCTTGTCATCTCTGCCATCTTGAAGTGATCTGTGAACAATGCTGGTCCCTCGGACAGACCAAGCTGGTCAATCAGGCAGAACAGACTATGCAAATGGAGTGGAAAGGCGAAGCGCTGGAGAACAGTGGCTCCCATTGTCTTGGGCATTTCAAAGCGCAGAGCAGCTGCAGCAGACTTGTCGTCTCGGACCTTTGGTTGCCACACTAATGTCATCATTGCAAAACATCAGATTTAGAAAACTATACATTCTGAATGCATTAGCAGGCTCCTCTGCAAAGATTTCACTTCTCCGTGACATGTTTCGGAGTCACAGATCCCCTTGTGTTGATAGGGGGTAGGGAAAGAGGATAAGGGAGAGAGTGAGGGGGAACCCGGAGCAGTACTGGAGAGGAAAGAGGGGTTTGAAAGCTACAATAGCTGATCGATTCATAGTTTCATTTTCTGATGCATTCATATACTTTTTAAAGCTTCCCTGTCGCTCTGAGCTTGGACACCTACCTCAGAGACACAGCCTTCTTCGTCCTTCAAGATTAAAATCAAATTTAGCAAGGCTGTTGCATCTGATGCTTTCACATCTTTCGGGAGTTTTCCAATTTAACTTTGCGGCTCCATAATGGGCTAACCTGGGTTTGACGTTCACTCAAAAGTTGATTGTCGATACATTTTTTTTTAACCACACAAAATGAAGTGTGGGGCTAAAGTTACTACTTTACATTAGGTACTAGACTGAAACGAATGCAGCCAAATAGTGACTTTATAATTGCGAGATGGAGTTAGTACCTCTCCACAATCATTTGTTTTAAAAGACTAACTTGTGAGACTGTTCGTGATATACACGAAAGGCTTATTTAAGACAATTGTCAGCCCCACTACGTAGAGAGCCCCCTGGCTTTTACTAGGAAATAAAACTATAACTTAAAGGAGTGATGTTCAATTGAATTATTTATTCATTAATTAATTGCTCTCCCCCTTTGACTTCTCAGATGACCGAATTAATTTTAATCCTCTCCTCCCCTCCCCAGCCTTCCCTTTTTCTTCTTTCCCCTCTTCTTCTTTCCTCTTCATTCATTTCATCACTGTATTCTCTGTTTTTCAAACCCACGCACCCAACCCCTTCTCCTTTCTCCGTAGATGGAACTCTTGGGTTTAAAAGTAATCTCCCTCCCTTTCCAGCTCCAAGGAATCAGAAACACCGAGAAACCTGTTGCTGAGATCCCGTCTACTGACTTGTCTGGAGAGTTCTCCATCTGGCTCAATAGCTGTGATCAAGAAGGGGCAAGAACGTTTGGACTTCTACTTCTGATGAGAACAGAAGTTTGCAGGTCGGAATATGAGGAGATAAGAGAGAGATGGAACTTCTGGGGAGTTGACTTTCTCCGAACCTGACTGTTGCACACCCTGAACCTTCGAATATTTCATATCAGGTCCCAGGGAGCACGTGGCCATGGCCATGGGCTGGTTTTTGGTAAACAGAAAGGGCAGTTTTTTTCTCTCATCCACTTTCCATGTGGCCCCTAGGATGTTTATTCCTGAGAGTGACTGAAGATGAGGACTGGGTGGAAGAGGCAGGATAGTCTTACTCAACTATGAGAATGTTTTCTATGTCCTTTTATGCTTTATCAGGGTAAAATCCAACCGGATTCTCCAGTTTATTAGTAAGGGAATTATTCGGGGTAGTTAAGGCAGAATACCTTGACCAGTGAAAACTGTTTCCGATGTAATGAGAAGCGGCTGAGCGGAGTGGAAATGGTGGGGGACCCGCTTGAATTCTGCCCCGGACCCCTTAAGACCAACTGACAGCTTCGTTGATAATAAACACCTTGAATTACGGATTCCGGGGCAATGGCGTTAAAATTTCTGCTGGAAATAACTTCCATTCCAACTGTCTGTGTCTACGTCTGTAAAACCACCAACACCCTCCCAGTTCTTGTCCCATTCAAGGGAGGAGAAAAATAAATGAAGAAAAGGAAATTGGCAACCTGTGTCTGCTGTGATTTTTAATGAGGATAGGGCAGAGTCAGGATTGGGAAACAGTGGCAAATGGCCCAAAGTAAAGACAAAACGAAACAAAACATTTTTTTTTAAAAAGAAAAATGTGTTTTGCAATCTACTGGATAACAAGAGGTATGCTTAACTTGGTGTATCCCATAGGTAGGTTGCGTCCTATCCCGCCTTAAAAAGGGCCCAGTTTGGGGAAAACTGTCTATCAGCTTGGAAAGAGAAATAATGCACAGCTGTGTTTAAGTTTTCTCTCATTCCACTTAGCTTTCAGCCCTGGTATCTCAGGGAATATTCTGGCACTATCTCTCTCCAGGCCAAAATCTCTTAGATAGTTTCCTTACCACAACACTACTCCAACACATTCTTTCGACTGAGCTGGCAAATCATAGCAATACATAGAAATGGGGAAAGACAAGCGCTTTCCAAGAAAACCTTAAGTTGCCCTGGGATTGGGGAAAATAAGGCTAACAAAGGGAATAATAAAAACAATAAGTAATTCACATTTACATAGAGCTTTTAAAATGCACTGAGAGTTTTCCTCACAAGAATTCTGTGAGCTCTTGGGCCAGTCATTAACCTATCTGAACCTCGGCTTCCTAACCTACGTAAAATAAGCCGGTTGAACTACATGTTCTCGGAGGTCCTTCCCAGCTCTAAATCAACAGCTTGTCTCCTCTCACCAAAAGACAGTCACTTAGAATGCTCAAGTATTTCCTCACGCATATTTCTCTCCGTTCTCCATCGAAGGAGTAGGAAGGGGCCATGAATTCACCAATTTTCTTTTTAGTACCATGATTTAAGTTAAAAGAGTTTTTCTTTTTCAGGGTACCTGAGTCCCGGACCCCTTGCATACTTCGAGGCTCCCCCCCCACGCCCGATACTGTTTGTTTGCTTTCCTAGAAATCTATTCCCCACCTGTGTTTCTACACCTTCGTGTCCTTCCTCTTGTTCCCTCTTATGGCTGCGGTGTAACCGCTAACCGAGGTATTCTTCCTTCGTCTTTCTCTCAAAACCTGGGTGTCTACTGCCTCACACCCGCACTTAGCCTATCAGTTATAAAGCCTCTTCCATTCAATAGTCACTACCCGACAACCTTTCTCCCCCTCCACCACACTAGCTGGTGGCTAGAAAAATTATACCAGGATAGATTTGAGAAGATAGCAATAGAAGTCGAGAGATTAAGGAGAAAGGGAATTTAGTAACGATATCAAGTTCCTAACCTGAATCAGATTTAGAGCTCTTTTGCTCCACCACCCTCATTTTGCAGACAGGGAAACTGAGGCCAAGATGTTAAGTGACTTGCCCAAAACCACGGAGTCAGTCTCAGAGCTGGGATTGGGACCTCTGACTACAGATATAAAGCGCTCTTTCCATTGAACATCTGAATTCAGCAATAGCACACTGTCCTGGGGAGACCACAGGGGAAAAAGCAGACATTGAAAGCTCTCGGGTAGACTGTTTCCTTAAGGTACACTTTTTGGGGCTCCCCCTGTCATCGGCACCCTGAGCTACCAGATGATTTGCTATTGATTTAATTCATTCCCAGCATTGCCTCTTTTGACCAGGCACGGGTCACAAAACGCTGGGAGGGAGCCCCCTGACCCTGATCTTCGAACACCCAGACTTTGGGTCCCGGGACCACTACCTCACGGTCATAAGTCTGGCTGGAAACAATATTATCTGATTCCACTTTCGCCTCGAGCCCCTTCCCTTTCCCGACATCTTCCCCCACAACCAGGGCCAGGCAGTGGTTATCTCTGGTAAATGTACTCACTATATTTTTCCATGTTCATTATCAACCAGCTCTGAGCTGCTGCATCTGCCCCTCTCACACATGAGGGAAGAAAATCACATATTCGATGAATACAGCATAGCAGGTTTTATTATTTTTTATTATTATTTCCTTACGGAACAGATTTGGTTGAAAGTTATGCAGGAAACAATAACTAATTTATTCTCACAAAAAAATAGATATGTAATGTCAATCATTAAATTTAAACCCCTCATAGACAGCACAGAATGGATTCTAAGACAAGACAAGGGAATGTTTATTCCTGGGCCATAAGATCCTTCAATGCTAGGCAACCTTAAATTGCAATCTATCTATCTATCTATCTATCTATCTATCTATCTATCTATCTATCTATCCATCTATCTACAAGCACATATATATATACATATACATATACATATACACACACAAGTCTAAATGATTGCTTTGTTGTTTTTAACGTGTCCTTTCTCATATATAGATCAGTTGAGTGCTGCCAATGATATGCATGTCCATTGCAGAGTGCAGTGGGTCCTTGATTGTAGAAATCTTGGGGTCCCTCATGACTTTCTCACAGAGCCTGAGGAGTTGTTACAAAGTTTATAATACTGTGCTGTATGGAGCCAAAGCAGAGCTGACTTATTTTAAATATGATTTTATATTAGAGCTATACATAATTGAAGCATCTTTCTTTCATAAGAATGCAAATAATGTAACATTCCCAGAGATTCTGGGGGGGGGAAGGGAGGGATATTTCACATTGTATTGTATTGCTTTATTAATTTTCTTTCCATTTTTTATTTTAATTCTTGCCTAATTGCTAGATTGTGATCCAAGTCAGCAATCCTCAATGGACTATGAACTAACTTTTGTGGAATCTGACTACAAATGCTAGCTGATGATGAAATTTACATCAATTAAGTTATTGGGGCAAATCAACACAGCGAGAAAGCAACCTCTTTTGGTTATTTTCACCATATTCTCAAATTTCTCATCATTGTAACTTCCCATCCCTCAGATGTCTTTCTAATCTCATTTTCTGCAATGTGTCAGATAAGGGGGAGGGGGAATCCCAATATTGGCAAGTATTTTCTTCAATGCATAAAAATGTTGCCAAAATAGGAACAAGAGAATTTCAATAAAATATTTTCTATTCCTCTGATTTTATGATGAAAGCTTTTAAAATGTGTCATACTTTTGCCAAAGGATTCACATGATAAAATATTTACCAATATTTTTTTCTAGTCAGAACATTGGAAATGCTCTACATTAATGTGACTTGGAATAGAAGTGAAGTTAGAGGCTTTGGTCTTTCTTTTGAGTTAGTGTTTTCTAAGAACTATGGGTAGCAGATTTCATCCAGAAAATTGTTGCTCTAATAAAATGGATTTTATTACAACTGGAACAAAGAAATTATATCTGTACATTTACCTTGAATTCACCATAATTTGTGAAGAAACAATTCAGTATGAATGGGGGGAGGGAGGTGGATCTGTTTTGCAAAGACAATTTAAAATGTTTCTTGGAAAATGTTGAATAGAAATACAATTTTTCTTTTTGTCTAACTGAGCTGTCCAGTTGCTTATTATGATTCTGTACATACATGGGTTTATTTTTAGTTAAATTAAATTATAACTCAAGAAAAAAGAATTGGTTCTCAAATCCCAGGTATGAGAAAGTCCTTGTAGGTAAGCTAATGGAAACGGTTTATTCTTTCGCATTAATGACTTAGAAAATTTTCCTGCCCTTTTGTTGCTCAAGGCTTCTGTTCAATTGATAAAAAGATAATGGAGATACTTTATTATGTAATAAATAATGCCTCATGCAAAAGTTGCAAAGAAAAAAAATCACTAAAAATTCAACATGCATCTTGCTGGAAAGTCATCAATAAACACCCCAATAGAAATCCAAATAATTTCACTCTTCTGTGTCTGCATGTGTAGGGAGACATATTTATTAGTATGACAATGCTGTTTATTTTTGTGATGATTCATGTTTGTTCTGATTCCACTTGCTGAGTCAATGATGAAAAAGCAAACTGAAAAGCTGAAGGAATTTAGTTGTTTATTGTCAAACACGGCTGTTCTACTTTTAAACTTTCAGAAATGGTCTGGAATAAAAAGAGGGAAAAGGATAAACAAACACAGGGAATGGGGCATTCAGAACCATGGGGACAAGGCACTAGTTTCACAGCATTGAAAATCTAAGTAAAAACAAAATTCCCAATTAACTTACCACACTGTTTATTTAACATATGTATTGCTAGGGCACATTTGCTCTGATGGCTTTAAAAAAATAGGAAGGCTCTTAGTTAAAAAAAACACTACAATGGCCCTACATTTTCAAATATTCACAGACAAGATATTCTGGATAAATAATCTAAGATTAACTAAATTAGGTCAATGTTCATACAAGCCAGTGTGATATATCCCTTGTGTTAAAATTATCTGGTGTCAGCTACACTGATTGAAAAAGCACTACAGACAAAAAAAAAAGTCTTATTACAAGATGTCTCAGGAGCAGATAAGGCCGAAAAGAAGTCCCATCACAAATAAGTGACCTTATCTAGATTTTAATATGGTGGTAAGTAAATTATAAATGTTTTTGCAAGTAAGACAACTTGCATTGAAAAGCAGAAGAAGTTCCATAAAAGTCTTAAATTTCTGAGCCAAGGGTTCTAGGCCCCACATCTTCTTTTCCCAAAAGTCAACTTTTGGGGTTGTTTTTGTTCCTTAGCTTATGTCCCATATGACCACAGACCAAACTCCTCTCTAGTGAACAAAGACTGTGTATATGCTTCATGGTGGGCCAGATGGGTGACTGCTGCACTGACTGAATGTTTCCTGGGTATCTATGCATTGTTTATTTACTGCTTTCTTTTTTTGTCTCCTTCTTCATAAAAGCTCCTATTAACTTTAGAGAAAATTGCTCCTACCATGGCCAAAGAAGCAAGGACTGGTAATCTAGTTTATAACACAAAGCCCATAGAAAAGATCTATCACTTCAGTCAGTAGTAGAATATAATTTATTTTCCCCAAACATTCATTCCCTATACTCTAGCTTAGTCATTTTTCAAATAAGCAAGTTATCCATAACTCAGTAAAGTAGTACCCTGATGATGGTGGTCATTCCTTCACCAGGGAGAACACAGAGAATCTTTCTCTTACATTCCTTAATAACGTAGGCATA